GGTTTAATTTAAGGTTTCCAGCATTTTCCTGGAGTGACAGAGGAAAAGACAAAATCTCAGTCAGAATAGGTGGTTGCCATGAAGTGCTATCCACTCAACCACAACATCTGGTTAATATCTTACATTCCTCATTCACTGGATCCGTATATTTTTCCGAAGACATGTCCAGTTCATATTCGTCACTCAAAGTAGGTGATCGTTGTTCACAGCCATACAGAATAACTGGTAAAATACATACAACATTTTTATGTTATAATATTCATTGTACTGTGCCTTATTTTGGATTTTGTACGCCATACGCAGATGTGTCTGTCATATTTGAACATAAGTATTGCAAACATGGAAGTGTCTCATACTAAGATATCTTCACCTGTGATTCCTTTAAAAGAAACTAATGTGCGATGTTAAAACGATTTCTTTTGACCATAATCTGCTCGTTATAGTAAAAGAAAATAATTATTAATAATTTATGCCTTGAAGATATCCGTCTTCTGGGTTATTGCGCTGTGTAGTCTGGTCGATGTTAACCAACGTTTCAGAGGTCATACTGCCTCCGTCATCAGAGTATGAAGATTTCTGTCTTCTGGGTTGTTGCGCTGTGTAGTCTGGTAGATGTTTACCAACATTCATACTGCCTCCGTCATCAGGGCGATGATCGCCCTGATGACGGAGGCAGTATGACCTCTGAAACGTTGGTTAACATCGACCAGACTCCACAGTGCAATAACCCAGAAGACGGATATCTTCATACTCACCGCTGTGAGAACCTCAAGTCTTACAATTTATGCCTTATTCTTAAACATTGTGTATGAATGATAATAACATTTTAATGACTTCAACCACCCCCATCCTAGATAAAAGCGCTAGTAAACTTGATTTAGGATCAAAGTGTAAGTCCCTGGCTTTTGAGAAATAAGAGAAACCTTGAAATGAAATCAGTGGGCTCATAAACCTACCAGAAGGTGACTGATTTTTATCATCAGCACTGGGAGAAAGTGACCGGTGTGATTCCACATCAGAATGATGACTCCCTGTTTCCTGTTCTGGACTCTGAGACCGTGGAGAATGCTGACTTCCTGTAGAACGAGGCGAGTGCTGACTTGCGTTGGATCTGGGAGAATGTGGACTGACATTGGATTTCGGTGAATGACGACTGACATTTGATTTTGGAGAATGCTGACTTGTATTGGATGTGGGAGAATGTGGACTGCCATTGGATTTTGGAGAATGCTGACTTGTATTGGATGTGGGAGAATGTGGACTGCCATTGGATTTTGGAGAATGCTGACTTGTATTGGATGTGGGAGAATGTGGACTGCCATTGGATTTTGGAGAATGCTGACTTGTATTGGATGTGGGAGAATGCTGACTTGCATCTGATCTTGGAGAACGTTGACTCACGTTAGACGTTCGGGAATGTTGACTGGCATATGACCTCCGTGAATGTCTACTGCTTGCATTAGAAACGGCTGAACGTGGGCTGGCATTAGAGACCGGTGAACGTGGGCTTCCAGCTGACTTACTTGCATTAGAACCAGGACTTTGTGACCCATCATCAGATCGAGGACTACCCTCAGACCTTGCACTGGGTGACCTCACATCTGTAATTTACAAGAGACAGTAATGGAAACAGTTGGATTGTGATAAAGAACATTAACTTGACCAAATCAAAAGTTATATATATGTTCCTAACCTTGCTCTGACTCTGCTCCATTTACTGGTGAACCTGGTGAATATTCATCGTTATTTAATCGAGCTGGTGTAGCTTCTGTGCGATTGTCACTGTCACTGCCTGAATTAACAGATCCCCGTCCAGGTGTTGGGGCAGGACCATGATGGCTTGCAGGACTACCGCTACGGCTACTGCTATGGCTTGACCTTCCACCACCACTTTCAGAATCTGATCCAGAATCTCTTTCTATGAATAAAATAAAATGAACATTAATTCAGTGATCATTTTTAGACTTTTTACTTCCTCAAATGCTCTTGTGATCATACCATCTATGTGTGTATGTGTTCTTCCCTGACACTTCCCTTCACCCTTTGAAATAGTTGACTGACTTTCATGAAACTGATATGAATGTTATGTTAGTACATAGTCCATTCTATGTATAATATTAAATTACCATTATTTCTGTAGCATATTTATAATTAAAAGCATTAAAACCTCTTGCCCAATGGACCACATGACCATATACACACTAAGCAAACGTGCTAACTCATGAACATTAATAAATCAAGATATGTAAGAGAAGCCTGTGCAATAAAAATGTAGGTTTTATGAGCCCGCAATCAGGTTCTGCTCGGAAGTCCTCGTATAGTTCATACGTACAGCTGTTTGTATACGGTAGTGTAAGGTTATGGTCGTTCCTTGCGATTATTTAGATGACAAATGTTACAACGAAAAAACCTAATTTGCATTAATAAATACGTTGTGTTTCAGGTAAATCTACTTGTATTAACAGTTATACGTTCTATTTACATTACCAACTGATTCCGCGTCACTGGAATCGTTGTTTGAGATCGACGGAGCCATGTTTCCCACTGCCTTCTAAACACAGCTTTCCCGGAAATTGCACTGGTGTGTTTCATAAAAGCGATTGGGTTTTGCTACACTGGTGTGTTTCATAAAAGCGATTGGATTTTGCTAGCCAAGGACAAAGACCGGTGGAGGGCTTTGGTTAGTTCATGAACCTTCGGGTTCCCCAAGCCATCTAGTTAGTGTTTAATAAAAAGTGTCTGGCACAAATACTCCTGTCTAGCTCTCCGAATTCCCTGATCTTCATGAATATAAGTCCCGATCGAGTGATAGAATATACAATCATCTATTAAGTTTTTTAAAAGAAATTAATTTTGATTGTTAGCCCTGCCTAACTTTCTTTAGTGTCCCTGATTAACAAAATGAATGAAACCAGTCTTTCCTGTCTCTGAAAAATCTGATTGTTTTTCAATCCCTCCATATTCCATCTTTCTCTATCTTTTTATGGACAGTGCTACTTTTATTATATACTGGTGGCATCTAGCGGCAGGAAGCCAAACTATGATCGTCATGACATGCGGTTATTTCAGTATCTTGCTCTCTGGCGTATGGCGTGGCTTATTTTTGGAGTGAAAGTGAAATGTTATTACCTGTAATGGAGCTAGAGGGTTTTTTTTGTTTTTGGAGTGAAAGTGAAATGTTATTACTTGTAATGGAGCTAGAGTTTTTTTTTGCTTTACGAATTTACCGTTTCTGCAAATGATTCCGGTGCTTCCTGACTTGTAACGCCTGTGTGTTTCCGCTTAGTATAAACTGAATTTGTGTATATACAAACACCAGTGAAAAAATTTGACGTGTTTATTAAGTGAAGAGTAAAACATTGTCACCCGAGACTGAACCCGTGACCCTCAGTTAGTTCCGTGCAGTAGTAAAGACTTTTCGTGTCGTTGCGAATTTATCTTGTGCGTTGTTTTTAAATGAGGAGTGTAGTGTTTCTGTTACTTTCGGCGATTGTCGTGGTAGAACATTAAAATATGCCACGGCCGGTTCTCAGTTCTGTTTGTTTCGTAGTATCCCGTCTGGCATAATTGTTGTCTTCGTTGACAGCAAGATTAAGATACGCAGGCCTATAAACAAAATTGTTTAAATGTTATTTAACGACGCTGTATCAAATGCATCGAGTGAGATGAGAGAATGGTCGTGTAAGGCAGAATGACAGGAATTAACAACTTGTTTCTACAGATATATTAAGACCGCGTGGAACTTTATCTCCACTCCTCAGATACGCCTTTATATCATGGTTATTACTCACTGTAGTAATTTTTTTCTAACCCACAGAGTGTCATGTGTGTATGATGTCAAATATTGAGTAGGCCGAGTGTTATTTCCTACTTTTGAGTCATTTACTGACACGAAACCCAATTTATGTGTTGCACGAAAGTTCTAGTAATAAACCATCAATGTTGGCATTCTGGGTTGTGACGCTTTGTTAACTTGTAGGTAGATACCAGCGTTCTGGAGGAACATAGACGGTTTCCTTCGGTTGGAAATCACTCTCGATAATTGAATTACCGTTCATTGTTATTATAATTAATCTACATTGAGTTTCGATTCACTTATCTCTAGACGTAACGCACAAAAGTCGACGGGAGTTTGAAGGCTCGAGAAAGGATACTTTAACTTTGTAATTGAAATGATGAATATTCATTCGCGTCCCGTGAAAGGAATGGGAGTTTCATGTGTTTATCCATCGTATTCCTTGGGAATAAGGAATAATCCTGTAACTTTTTTTTCATTACGACGTGTAGATTACGCGATAATTCTTTGAAAGAAGCCACTAATTCTGTTACGTACCGTCTGCTTTAACAATCAGTAGCTCTTAATTTTGTATTTATGTGTTTCGTATGATTCTCAGTGTAAACAGCGATTATTTCCTTAAACGGCGTTAACCAGTCGATCTTTGCAATGGTGAAGTGAAGTGTTTTCTTCGCGGTACGGACTGAATTCTTATATATTAATTATATCAACTTCGGGCTTCAAAGGGAAATTTTGGCAGTCAATCTTCACCCACACTTCTTGTCCCTAACAGGGAAACTGTACGGACTAAATTAATAAATTTTATTTAGGTGAGCTTCGGCTACATGGGGTCTCTCATTTCAAGACAGCGTCGTTAAATAACCAACCGGAAAATTAAACTAATTATGAGTTTCTGGAATATTGCAGGGGCTCTGTTCAGGTACGGGCGATTTGAATTTTTTTTTATATAAATGTTACTTTTACACGTTCAGCAATGACTGATAACACCGTGTCGTGTACCTGAATATTGGATAAGATCGGTGTTACGTAAAAATGGACAGCAACAGTTTGAACGAGAGGAATCCCAGCGTCACCGCCCAGGTGTGGCCCCAGGTCGGATACTTCGTGCCTTTGCACATGTGTCAGGGGCTTTATAGCTTCTCGCCGTAAGTACTGTCAGAGCACAAGCTGTTCGGAGCTTTCATACAACAACAAAAAACTAACAGACTGAAGCGTCTAGGCGTCTGAAATTTGGTGCGAAAAAAATCGTAAACTTTATTTTTCGTATTTTTTTAAAAATTACGAAATATGAACACATCGTCACCTTGAGGGTTCCAATCGAACCTTATTGAATTCCCAAAAACCTGATCACCGTTCGTAACATATTTTTGTGACGTAAGACGTAAATCTGGTTATAGTCCAAATATTATTCTTTAGATTCCATGATAAAGACACGTAAACCTAAACGTCTGAAACGTCCATCGTGGTCAATAATATTCTGGGTGAAACAACCATGTAGACTTGTTGGTGGTTAACAATGTTTCGGAGGGAAATATCGCCTCCATCTTCAGGGAAATATTATCTTCATGGCGTCACAAACCAAGAGACCACGATGAAGACTGAGAGACTGCGGTCAAAGAATACGGGAAAGACCTTGGAATAAATAAATAAAAAGATTAGGGAATGAAGGACGAGATAAACAAATTAAGAGAAGAGAGAAAAGTTAATAAACTGGAGTAGTCTGTGCCTTTCCACGCTTGTTATTAAAGTCAAACAGGAAGATGCTAGTATATATTTTTTTTTTTCTGATGTTATGTGGGGGTGGGGGGAGATGCCTTGTGTGTTGTTTATCTGTTGCCATATGTCTGTCGGCCCGCGCTCTCTGCCGACAGGACCACACAGCCGAGTGTTTCCTGCCCTTCTGGGCTCGGCCGGCGCCATCAGAAATGAAATATTTGTCTCTGGATAAGTTCATCGACTGAGTCCATTAGCTCACGAAACTCTTTAACTCAGTAAATGTTTTTTTTTTAAAAAAAAAAAATTCCTGCGTCTGGTTCACAACCGCAGCTGTAGCTATAAAAATGTGTTTATTAGTAAACAGTACCAGAATTTTTCCCGTTGATAATGACGGGAAAAATCTAAAGTTGTCTTTTAAAATAATGTTTGTGAAAAGTATTTGGCGGATTTGGTTTTATTAACAGGTAGAATCGCCTTATTATTCTGTAATTTTATTTTAATTTTTTACAGACGTCACTAAACTTAAATCAACCCGCTTAAGTTTTTTGAGGTAATGGATTATCGTAAATTTTCGTTCTAAAGTGGGGTAATAACTTCATACATTTGCTGTTTCAAAATAATTTAGTTTGGAGTACCGAAGTCCCTCAAGGTGTGTGACTGTGATTCACCGTTTAGACAGACAGACAGACAGACCTGTTCACTGAAGCACCTCCCAAACGATTGACGTAAGCAATTACGTACGACTTCCTGAGCCAATTTCGCTCTCAGTTGGGGGTACACCGTTAAGTTCGCGATGAAGTCATCACCAAGGGTGTATTTTGGTCCGGTGGCTGGCAGATAGCGCGGGAGTATATTGAACTCTGGTTCTGGAGAGGGGGGGACATGGAGGTGAGATCCTACTTTGCCATTAAGTGTACTTCGCGTTATGCCACCGAGCGTCACACCTGTTTCGTATCGATTTGCGATCTGGGTCAGAAAATCAATTATATTGACTGATGATTTTCCTCAGTATCTTCGACATATGCGAAGTTGGTGGCTTAAATTAGGCCATGCCGTATCCTTCCACATCCTTTACAGTTTATTTGTCACTGATCATTCTGTAATTAAATGATGTATAGAATTCGTAGGTTAGGTTGATAAATATTTTGCTGTTAGGGAATTTGAAACTTACGTCAGAAACCTGATTTACCCCAGTATGCTAATGAATTTAATTGAGAAAATGTCTTAATTTGTTTTAATAGGCGTGTTTCCTCAGTAGTCTACGACTTTCGACAAAAAAAGAAACGCAAGTAGTTACGTTGAAGTGTCAAAAGATGGCAGAAGATTACATTTCCACCGTAGATTTTGACAGCGAAAGTAGACGACGATGCTTCTGAAATAGGAAACTCGTTTGTAACATGAAATAGGTTACCAGTCATTAAAAATAATACCTCCATCATTTGGCTCTGTTTGAGGAGAAACATGCGGCTAGACATTGTTACATTCTCGGACGTAGTGGCGAGAAACCTCCTACCCCGTCACTCATAATTGTCAAGGCGAGAAGGGTTGCATGTCATTCCCCTCTAGCGGCGGAAATGGGCAATTAGAGGTGACAGATTCTGCCCCCCCGCTTCCGACCTCACAGCAGACTCATCCAGGTTTTATCCCGGCATCGAACACCATTATTATAACCTCAAGTCTTACCATTATTGTCGTTTATTAAACTTCTTTTTTTATTATTTCTTATTTCCTGATTCGTAAGTCGATTAAAAACAAAAGAGCATCGGTTTTGCGCGGAGTCGTATCGCGTTTGTTTTATTTTTACGTTGTTTAATCTCTATAACGGAAAACACATTCTTTTGTTTGCTTTGCGCTCTGTTTAAATCCGAGTTAACGTAACGCAAAACATTCAAGTAACCTAATAACTTTTATTTACATTCATTGTTGTTCTTCTGTAAGTGCGTGTTGTTTTTTTTTGGTTTATTGAAATGATTGTTATTTTTAAACTGGTTTATTTACTTACATTGTTTGTTTATCTAGCAGATATTATCAGTATGATCAAATGAAAGACGAGAGATAAGCCGGGAATGGCCGAAATGTTATCAGGATGATAAAATAAAAGAATAGATGACCGAAATGATAAATAAGTACAGAATTTTTGTTGGGAAGTCTGATGGTAAGAGATCGCTCAGAAGACCTAGACTGTAGATACTGAACAATGGCAGGCTGTTGTGAATACGATAATGAACGTTCGCGTTCCATAAAAGGCGAGGAATTTTTAAGGACCTTGCTCCATGGATTAAGATTTATTTACTTGTTTATTGGCAGTATAGAACATGGATCTTTGAGGTATAGGGTGATTAAAAATAATGAGTTGAGATTGAATTATAAGAAAGAATTAATGATAATCTTCACACTTTTCTATAATCATCACTGAGTAAGACAGACGAAGTATTTTTTTTTTCGTAGGTTATTAAACGACTCCGTTGCAACTTTGTAGGTTATATGACGTCGGATTAGATTGGGAGGATGATTTCAGATCGTGAGTAGTATGAACATGGTAGGTTTTAACAAGAGGGTGGATTTCCTTTATCTGATTCTTCGACGAACGGCGTTCAAACGGAAGCTTTTGATCGTCGTTTGGATTATTTAGACCCCCTCCCCCTCATACAAGATGCGGGTTAGAATCTCTGCGTGTCTCCTGAATGAAGCCAGAGCATTTAGTGGTTGTAGAATGGGTAAGCTGAGTGGTCTTCTGTCTCGGCGTTTGGTTTTCTCGAGGTACGTCTCAGTTACACTATTTATACCCTTCAGTGCGTTTAAAGTATTTAAGAAATTGTCTGTTTAACGACGTTGTATCAAATGCATGAGTTTGTGAAGCGTGAAATAATGTTTTGTTTTGATTAAACTGCACTAGTCGCTGGCTGACGTTAAAGCGGACTTAATAATGAATTTTGGAAATAATCTATAATATTAATTGTCCTTAAAATGTTTTAGTGTAGGCTTGTAATTCATACCTCTAGTGGATTACCTTACGAGTTACCAAATGACGGTCGTACTCACTGTTATTAATGATAAGACATTAAAAAGTACCGACTAATTATGTTCATAATAAGTTTCGTAAACATCGCTTCAAAATTTATTGAGCGTGACAGACTTTGCTGACTAATACAGAAACGAACTTAGTGACACGAAGATATTACAGGCGTGTTTAAGTAAGCACTTAAAAATGATCTTTTAAGTGACTTAAACCTGCATTCTGGTAGTGGTATTTCCTCCTCACCAGTGGCGTCCCTTCTTGTCCCTGGCAGGGGAACGGAACTGGGCGGGGGCGAGAGCGCGATAGGGACCTTGACGCCGTCGTCTGGACGCTCGTCGTTGGTGTCGGGGCCGCTGCTGTACCACCCAGCCAACAAGGAAGTGCTTGAGGAGCCCGTCGATGAGCAGGTGAGAGGCCACAAATTGGGTCAGAATTTCCTACGCTGGATCCAAGGTATTCTGGGTCCAACAGGTCCAATTACGATACTAAGGCCAAAGACGTTCTGGTACCAGATTTGTAATTAAAATTCTGGGACTTTGGGTGTCCTGGGATCCGCAGTCCCACAGGCTTGAAGAATCGAGTTAGTATGCTAGAGAATGGTATAGATGGTGCT